ACGATCAGGGCTTGTCCAGGCTTTCCACCTTTGTGGTTCATGACGATGTGGCCCTAACTACCAGATGGGCTTCTCCAAACTAAATTTCTTTTTTTTTTTTTTAATTAACTCTTTATTTTTTTTTTAATAATTTTATTTATTTATTTTTCCCCCAGAGCCCCGGTAGATAGTTGTATGTCATAGCTGCACATCCTTCTAGTTGCTGTATGTGGGACGCCGCCTCAGCATGGCCGGAGAAGCGGTGCGTCGGTGCACGTCCGGGATCCGAACCCGGGCCACCAGCAGCGGAGCACGTGCACTTAACCGCTAAGCCACGGGGCCGGCCCTCCAAACTAAATTTCTGTTCTCACTCCCCAAGAGAATGCCTGACATTGGAAAAGCTAAGGGCCTCTCACAAACACTGTTTCTAAACATTGCTGCTTTGCACACACATAGCATCCCCAGCTCCTTGTCTACCACCTTCCTCCAGGGTTTTTCAACTCTGAGATACAGAGTACTTGAATTTTTCCAAGAGCTTCATTTACTTCCAGGAGTTCACCTTGATGCAGAGTCCTATTTTCCCTGAGCAAGGGAAGAGGAGCCTTCAGTCATCTCGCAGGAAGATGATAGCATCTGCTTGGGGATTCCAAGAGATGTTTTACTGCAGCTTTTCACAAACTGATTATATTTAAAGCTCCCTTGGGGAATGGGGGCTGGGAGGAAAGAAGCTTCAGAGACGACTTTTGTTGGCATGAGTGAAGAACTGCTCAGACCTCCCGGGGGAACAAGCTTGTTTAAATACCAGCAACCCGCATTCCCAAGCGCATGTGCACGCACAATATGTCTCGAGTTTTAAATATCATCTCCTGCTCTCAGAGTGTCCAGAAAGGGTTAAACTGTTTCAGGCAAAGGCCTAAGCCTTTTCTATCAAAATGCTCCAGATGGAAATTACAAAATTTCACTTCTCAGCTCTGTGGTGCACACATACTGTTCTTCTAAGACAGGAAAAAAAAAAAAAAGACAAGACCCCTAATGTTCTCAAGAAAGAGAATTTGACTGCTCAGCACACAGTACCACTCTGTTTCAGATGATTCCTCCCGGAATATTTGCATTAACTGTCAATCTCAAGCTTTCTGGGGGACTATAAACACTCAAGGTATGGAGAGGGTAAAGGAAAGAGGGCCTTGAATAAGGACCAGACAATAACTGGGACTGTGTGAGTGATGTGAATCCATCCAAATACCACCCAGATTATCGCCTCTGGTAACCATGCCTTGCACCTTACCACCTTCGCTGCTCCAATCCCAAAAGAAGCTACTAGGCTAGAGGCCAAAAGGCCTCAAGTTATGACCATGAATCTGAACAGGGCTGTGAAGAATTTCCAGAGATTAATGTATATGAAAGCACTTTGTAAACTGGAAAGAACTATCTAAAAGCACTAAGTATATTATTGCTTTCGAGTCAGACATTGAGAGGAATGAACTTTGAAAGGAATCTGAACACCCACAAACCAGAAACAATGATGGTTTTTAAGAAGGCGGCTACAAGGCAGGCTGACTAAGGAGGCCCGCCCCTCATAAAACCACACTGGGGTAGGGCTGGGGGGGCAGCCTCAGAAGTCCTTCAGGGCACACACAAGCAGGTGGTTTAAAGGGAGGCAAAAACCACAGGATAGATAGGGTCCCACAAAGTCCATTTAGAGTCCACTCGATTAATTCAAACCATTCTGACTGAACAGAAGGACCGACTCTGGTCAGAGACATACAGAACAACAGCGGCCAACGATTAGATTTTACCTGTTCACGTTACAGAAAGGGAAAAGAGGTTTTAAGTGACTGACCCAAGATACCTTTCGCTACTACTGGAGAACTTAAACTAGAACTCAAGCTTCATTCCTAGACTTGTCTCCTATCATTTAATAGCTGGCATTTTGGGAGTGAACAAACAAGTGCAGCCTTAACGGTCAGCCTAATTCGGCAATGAGGAAGGCTCATGAATAGAGGAGTAGACTGTACTGTTATGGAGCACTTACAAGTGCCAGATGCTGTGCTAAATGACTTTTATATACTATCTCACCGAATCCTCACAACTACCTTAGGAAGTGCATATTATTTTGCCTATTTTCCAGGTTAGGAAACTGAGGCTCAGACAAGTCATGTACCTTGCTTAAGGTGTAAGGCAAGCGACAGAACTGAAATTTAAACCTGGATTCCTTTGACTCAAAAACATGCACTCAACCATCAGACCAAAATAGCAATTTTCTTTTTTATCCTGGCATCTGCAAGAGAAGTAAAACTGGCAGCACTATGAGTCCCATATAACACACAAAAAGCTGAAACTCATAATAATTCTCACCGAGGGCTTCCAGCTAGTGGGCAGCAGAGCCAACCCAGAACCCAGGTCCTTTGTCTCCAAGTTCTATGCTCTTCCTTGGAGAGCATGGGTTCTAGGATGTAAGCTCCATGAGGGAGGGGACTCTGTCTTGTTCACTGCTACATCGCCAGCCCCCAGATCACATAGAAGGCACTCAATAAACAGCTGATGAATAAAAGAATGGAGTCAAGCTGCCACGGTTTGGCTGTGTAACCTTGGGAGGACTTCTTATCCTCCCTAAGCCTCAGTTTCTCCATGTGGCAAATGGAGGGTGAAATTACATCCACCCCCTGGGTTGATGTGGGGATTAAACGAGACAATTCATATAAAGCTCTTGGGACAGGCTGGAACATAATGAGCACCCAAAATGTACTCTGTTATTATCATTATTACTACTATTATTCATTGACAGATTACGGCTTCTCAGAGATTTTTTTCCTGCTCTGGTCAGATGATGTTTCATAGTAAATATGAATAGATTAGAGTAGAGAATTGGGAATCGGTAACCTCCTTCTAGTTTCAGATTTACCACCACCTAGCTGTGTGACATTGTACAAGCCTCTTAATTGGTCTGTACTCTCCTCAGCTGTAAAATGAGGGACTAAACCTTTCAAATCAGTTTCATAAGCATTGATCGGGTACCTTCTCTGAGTAAGACATCACGCTTGGCCACCTATAAAATTCTATGATCCTAAATAGTGTCAATGGAAAAATATCTGAGCAAAGCAAAACAGTCCCCTGCTGTGGCAAGGTTAAAGAGAAACCCCAAATAGCCAACTGCATTACATCATCTCAATGAGCAATGTTTGTAAATACACGAAGTGTTTAATTTTGAGACACTTGTGAGAAATCCTTCACCAATAAGGAATTGGCAGATATGGTTAACACCTATCAGCCCTGAACCTTCCAAAAAATAAACATGTAAAATCACTTTGCACCTTAGTCAAATGGTGTATTCTAGAGAGAAATCTGGGAAAGTCAAAGTTATTAATGCTCCCTATGGCAACGGTTAAGAATAGGATGTGTAAAAAAAAAGAATGACATATCTGGTTAAAACTGCAGGGGGATTCCAGGAGCAGAATGCAGTGCATTTGGACAGGACACAGAGGCCAATGGCTTATTGTTTACAAAAAGAGGCCCAGGTTATGAACATGACAAGAGGCCAAGACCTCAATTATAACTCACAACCACCCCTCTCCCAATCCCAGTTCAACTGAAGCTATCCATCAGTCAACTCCTTCATCTTACAGATAAACCCACCAATATTTCCAGCCAAGTGGCTAGATGGTCCCTCAGGGTACCTCCAGCATTGACGAAGCTGATGACATTAAAAAGATCCCATGGGCAACAATGGGGACTTCAAACTACCTTCCAACCTTCCAAGAGATAAGACAGCTGCCCACTTCAAACTCTATCCCTAACCCCACCCGGGGCAATCTTTGAAGGGTAACATGGCCCTTCCCAAGTCCTCTATGATAGGAAAGGTCTCCTTGCATTGGTGCGGGGAAAGAAGGAGGGGCCCCTCGCTCTGCACTCTGAAACAAAGGAAAACCCAGAGCTCTAACCATGTGGCGTAACATTCAAGGCCACCAACCTCTCCCACTTCCCAGCTAAGGTCTCAATGGGCTAGAGCCACATGGCTCTTCCCAGTGACTGGCCAGGAAGGGACAGTGCCTTGCACAAACACATGCTGGGGCTCTTTAACAGGCGGGAACCCCTCCTATGGGAACTGATGGTTTAAAAAAGGCTATCTGGCAAGGGGCTTTGATTCCTGTCCCAAGTCAGGCAGTCCACTAGATGTGCAGACAGATCACTTGGTTTCTCCAGGTCCACATTTTGCTTTACCTTTCACATTTTTGCAGGGAGGGAAGTGGGCCTTTAAAAGCATGTATTCTGGAGCACAGGGTGACAGCACAGAAGGCTTAAACAATTATGTCTTCCCATTCTCCAGAGTCAGCACCACCCAGCAATCCTAACAACCTAACTCCATTCTGGTTTAGGTAAGGGCGGAGACTGGCTGTGAGTAACCTTATTCTTTCTGTTCTCTGAGCTCTGATTGAATGCAGGGCGACCAGAGACTGGGCAGGTACAACGTGCACCCAAGGTGGCCACAGACTGTGTCTGACACCCTAGCAAATGTCATGGTTTGATATACAGTGCATCAGGAAAAAAAAAAAAAAAACCCTCTCTCAGAGCTCTCCAAATGATACACCTTCTCAAGGTTGCCTTTCTCTGCCTGGACCCCTCTTCAACCTCTGAAATAAATTCCCAAACACCTGTCAGATTTCAGTTGTCCTTCAAGGAAACCTGACCCAGACACCCAGAGGCAAACTGCTGCCTTTCTCTCTCCAAGAACCTCCTGCCCCTCCCCCCACCCTATCCAGCCTTGGGAAAAGGGCTGCCAAAATAATCGCCAGCCCTACAGAGAGGACCCTAAAGCCCACTCCGGAAATTTCCTTTCCCAAGCATGTGGCCCCTGGCACTGCCCATCCCTCGGAGGCTCAGACCCACCTACGAAACCACCTCTGGGGTCAGCCTGCCCCCACCTGCTCCACCCAAAGAAATGACCATCCTGCAAATCAGGTTGGAAATACAAGCCTCAGTGGTCCACAGAGCATATGCATTATGCTATTTTTCAAAGCCCTTACCTTTGACCTGAGTATCGTACTCTGCTATGATCTCCTTATCCTTTTTGAATTTGGCTGGAGACGTCATGTTTTCCTTCTTTCTTCCAAATTCGAATTGTGAATTGATAGATCCACGGAAAAAATCCAACCACCAAAATCAATACCTCCAAGACCGCTTCTCCCGAGGACAGAAGGGGCCCCCCGCGGTGGTCTCCAGCGCTCCGGGGAGCGCGGGCTGCGGGCTGGGCAGGCGGCTACGGCGGGCACATGCAGACGGTGGGCGCTGGGGCCGGGCGCGGCAGCGGCTGGTTCCTGTGCTAGAGCTGGAGCCGCAGCCTCAGCATTAGCCGGGAGAACTGCAGCGCCCGGAGGCTGGCCTGGGGTCTGACATCAACGACACAGGCGGGGAGTAGAAGTCCTTCCGCACAACATGGTGTGGGGGTGCCGGGTGTGGACGCGCCCAGCTGTGTCCCCGGGAGGGAGTGGGTGCGTATCGGGGTGCCGGGGTAGGGGTGGGCGTGCTTGGCGGTTTTTTGTTGCACAGGCTCGAAGATGCTGCAAATCAAATCCCAAACGGGAGCCGCAGCAGCGCGGACTGGATCTGAAGTCGTTTGCTCCGGTTCACTTGCCTGTAAACGCAAGGAAAAGGGGAGGGGGCGATCAGCCCAAACGCAGATCCTAATCGCGACGAGGGTGGGGTAGCGGACGTCGTTCTGAGCCCGGCCTGGGCCCATTCATCTCGGCCAAACGCCGCTCGGCCGGCAGAGCCCGGCGCGGCGAGGTGGGGAGGAAGGAAGCTCCCTCTGGATTTTGCTTTAAGGCTGAAAGAAACCACTTTGGAGCAGCCGCCTGCGCGGGCATCGGGTGGGGACTGCGGCGGCAACGCGGGGCTCCAGGCGGGGACTGCGGCACCTCGGCGGCCTCCCGAACCCTGCCGGCGCTGGGCAACGGCCAGCAGGAGGGAGCCCTCCGGGCCCTGACTCCGACGCGGCCCCTGACCCCTCGCTGGGGTAACTCCCTGGACATCAAAGGGGATCAAAGCCGGGGAGGGACAAGCCACCCGGGCACAACTTTTCTTCCCCTCCCGCCCCTCCTCCCAGTTGTTTTGTTTTTGGTTACTAGCTTCTCTTGGCAGCCAAATGTTGGGGGGGTGGGGAGAGGAGATCTGCAGGAAAAAGCCTGCTCCGCACGGGACACATCCAGGAAAACAATGTGGTCGGCAGGAGCAGGAAATGGGTTAGAGGCGAGGGTCGGAGTCGGGAAAACCGGGGGGCGGAGGGCGGAAGGCAGCCGTCGCCTCCCCCAAGTCAGGAACGGGAGTCACTCTAAATGCCATCCCCAATATTTTTTGTCACCCAAGCCGAGATTCCAGATACTGCACCGGATCCCAGGCTGGGGGCGGGGGAGAGGTCGGTGAGGGTCGCAGTCCCGACTCCCGCACCAGGAGGTGCCGGAGGAGACCTCGCCCCGGCCCAGGCCCGGGAGGCGGGAGGGGAGCGGGCGCGAGCGCAGAGCGGTCGTCTGGCTCCCCGGCGTGCCGCAGCCGCGACCCTCCTCCTCGGTCGCCTCTTTCCCTCCCCACGCCGAGAGGAGGGGGCTCCCGCTGTGTCTCCCGCTTCCCGCGCCCAGAGGAAAGGCAGCACCGAGGGAGGAAGAGCCGAGGCGGGGTACAAGCGGGCAGGAAGCGGGAGGGGGTGCGAGGTGGGGTCCCGAGGCTGCACGGGAGCCGGGGATAACTGGAGCTCTGCACACGCTGGGAGGGCGGGAGAGAGCAAGGGAGAATTACCTTAGGGGTGAGGGGAAGCTAAGCGACTACCGTGGGCCGCAATGTTACATGGAGCGCAAGGATGTTAGCAACTCTGGGGACGCAGATATGGGTCTGGGAACGGAGAGCGTGCAGAGGAGCCTTCGGGGCGGGCCGGGGGCTGGGACGGGGAAGAGCCCCGGAAGCAGAGCGGAACACCCATCCTTCTGGGTCCAGGGCTGTAACCCGCCGTCCGCCAGGGCGTGGACACAAGGGAAGAGGGCAGCCGGTGGTGACGGGCGATGCCCACGACGGCTGCCCAAAGGTGGACCAAGGCTGCCCGTGTGCACAGGACCTGGGGAGGGGGCTGGGTGCGGGCTGCGCGGCAGCATGGAGCCAGAGCAGCGTCCGGGCCGTGCGGGGAAGGGCGGAGAGACGGAGTCCTCAGAAGTATTATGGGCTGTACTGGGAGATTTGGAGCGGGTCGAGAGGAGGGGGTCTGAGGGATTCCGCCAGCAGCATCCGCGCCCTCTCCTTCCCGCCCGGGACTGGATTTGTTCAGTCCGGGCTCCAGCCCGGCGGCCGGGAAGAAAAAAGGGGAGAGAGAAGGAGCCTTTACCTGGCTCTGACGCGATGGGTCCCAGGCCCCCGGCTCCGCTTCCCACTCAGAGGTCTCCTCCCCTCTCTTCCCCGCCACCCGCTTCTACGCAGATCGGTCCCCTAGTCCCCCGACGAGCCTCCGCCAACTCCGCAGGACCCCGCCGGGAAGCAAAACCCACCCCCTTGCCAATCATCACCCGCTTTCTATCGACCGATAGGGCCTGTAGCCAATAGGAATAGGCGATCCCGAGAGGCCAGGAATGAGGAGGAGGGGCTGACGAAACTCGGAGGTGTGACTAGACTCCTGAGGCGTGGCCACAGAGTGAGCTCCTCCCGGGGTAGCCGAACCCTAAAGCAGAATTGATGGGCGGGATTAAGATGGAACCAACAACCAAACACAAACTCTTGAGAGAAGGCACGACCAATTGGACCGGGGTACAGAGGAGGGGCGTTGCGGAGAATTTTGGCCAATGGAGAGTAGACACCGGTGGGGACTGTAGAAGAGTCTTCCAATAAGAAGTGCGAAGGGCGTGCCTTGCCTCTATCACTAGGCCGGGAGTTAGGGTTCGCCCAGACCTCCCGGAGCCGGCCAATGAGGTCGGAGGCGGAGCCAAAGTCGACCAACCAGAGAGCGGAACTCATCTGAGCCCCGTTACTGGGGCGGGGCGTGCGGTCTCCTCGCCACTAAGATCTCGTCAGAGGGAGGCTCCGGAGCCTTCCAATGCGGGACCGGGGCGAACACTAGTTCTCCCAATCGGCGTGCGGCGCTGGCAATTCAAACTGTCAGCGGGTTGGAAAGGCAGAGAGAGCGGAAGAGGGAGCAAAAAACGACGTATTCGGTGACAGGGACCCCAAGGCGACTGAGCCCAAAAAGCGACCTCTGCCCCGCCCTACCACCACGGCCGCCCGGGGAGAGTACTGAGGGGACCGCGGGTGCTCGAGGGAGACCTGAGGGGAGGGGAGCGTGAGGAAAACCGCGCGAGAGCCGGCACGCCGAGGGCCGGGGGCGCCGGGGAGCAGCGAAGCGGGGCCGCGAGCCAGCAGGGCAGAGGACCGGGCCGGGAGGGCCGAGGAGAAGCAGGGCTCGTCCCGGCGGGAAAGCTGAGGGGAGCCTGAATCCCGGAGGGCAGGCGTGGGTGGGCACGCGCAGCCGCGATCCGAGATTGGAATTGGAGCGCTCCGAGGGAGGGGCCTGCGAGAGCAGCAGCCTTAAATACGAGGCTGCGGGATAGAAGCCAGGGAATCGCTGACCGGGCGGAGCTGGAGAGTGGAGGCTCCTTCAGGCGGGAGAAAGGGAAAGCTGCGGGGAAGTTCCCGAGGCCCCAGGCAGCCTGCCTCCTCCCCGCTTCAAACGTCACTCCCTTCGCCTAAAGGGAAAAAGAAAGCCACATTTGCTGCCTGCCCCCTGTTCTTAATAAATAATACTTTTACCCTCCCACGGGAAAACAGAAAAGAACTCATTTCCTTCCCAATTTTAGGGCTTTAGAAAAACTCGGAGCCTCGCCATTTGATTTTTAGCCTGGGGAAAATCCAACTGGGAAAAGTACTGCTCTCATTTCCTTTTTCAAATTCCCGCACCGCCTCCTTCCCGGACGCCATGTCCACCAGCAGTTGTAGTTTCAAAGACCGGTGCGTGTCAATCCTGTGTTGCAAATTCTGTAAACAAGTGCTCAGCTCTAGGGGAATGAAGGCTGTCTTGCTGGCTGATACTGAAATAGATCTTTTCTCTACAGACATCCCTCCTACCAAGTAAGTCATGCTAGTGGCGGCAACGGTAGCCTTTAACTAAATGGGAAAAGTGTACGGCTTGGACCTCTGGGAGTCAACGAGGAGGTTATCATTTTCGTGTTCCAGCCACTCCCAGCAGTCTGATGATCCCCTTGGCGTATAACTAAGTGGGCAGACTGTCTGGACAAAGTCTGTGGCTTAGCCAGAGTGGTCAGTCCTGATGTAATGCTTCTAGTTCAATTATAGTCGTGTGACCGCATCCCTCAGTTGGATCCCTGGCGCTGTGCCCTACCCAGCCATCCTATCTCACTAGATCAAGGCCGTGACTTAGACTCTAGGTAAACTCAGGCAAGATTTTCTGAACTGTTGGAGAGGAGAGGCCATGTAAGTTTTTCGGTTTTATCCGTAAAGTTTTACACCAAAAAAATTTATAGTTTTCTACCATTGTTTGCAATTGGCATGCTGAATCAGATCTATTGTCCATCTAATTCAGTATTCTTTTCTCAAAATCTCTCTTTTTCTGAATGAGAGAGACTTAAATAGATTTTTATGAGATGAAATACTTAGCCCTAAAATAATCTTCGTCTCCCATAAAGTCTATTTTGGATATTATGCATTCATTTCCATAGTTAAATCCTTTTAAATTCCATGTTGTGGTGTAGAGTCCTTAAGAATTTGCTTCCTATTTGGAAAAAGAGTCATTTTATTTGACTCAAATATACCTTTTTCTTGCTCTAAAAGGTACCTTCTCTTTTCATAGTCAGCGTATATGTACCCTTACATGATTGTCAAGATTTAGCTCCTTATTGAAACTTTATCATGAAGCTGAAAGAGTAATTATCCAAAATATGGGTGGACAACTGTTCTATGGACACAGGGGCAGAGGAGGCAGGCTGAGTCATAATACTTTAAAATGAATTTCATAATAATGATAGAAACTTTAAAAATGTTTTAAGTATACTCAGAGCTGTGGACTCTTCCTCCTTTGAAATCTTTTCTGAATTGGTTTAAGTGTAGTCATGCCAAGTGGCAAAACCAAAGGCTCTCATTTATTGCAAAGATAAATGGTTAATATTTTAAGTACCTCTGAGTGTGTGTGTATGTGTGTGTGTGTGTGTCTGTGGCAAGAAGAAGAAGCACTAGACAATAAACCTAGAACCTACTATTGCAAAAGTCTATGATTTGTTGTTTACTGCTTTTTTTTTTAGTAGCACATACACACACAAATTTTAAATATTAACCTATTCACCTTTGCAATAGCTGTGGTAAGTAGTAAGACAGTCATAAGGAAGGCTCGGATATGTGATTTATGAGAGGTTAAACCAGAGTCTAGAATAGAATCAGATCTTTCCTATTGTCTACTCTTCCTTGCAGGGGTTATAATGGTGATGGATTAATGTGCTAAGATGTGTGTGAACCAATGAACGCGTAAGGTTTTTTAAATGGAAGGTTTGTCATATTTATGGTGAGCTCACGAATATTAACTGACTCTTACAAAATATACTGTAGTTCTACTTTAGAGTCTCTTTCAGTTCTTTGGGTCCACAAAATTCATGCTAAATCACAATCAAAAGTACATTTGAGGGCAAGGATATGGAAAAATTGGAACCTTTGTGCACTGTTGATGGGAATGTAAAATGGTACTGCTGCTATGGAAAATAGCATGGCAGTTCCTCAAAAAATTGAAAATAGAATTAGCATATGATCCAGCAATCCCACTTCTGGATATATATCCAAAAGAATTCAATATAGGATCTACAAGAGATATTCACCCACCAAGAAGTGGAAGCAGCCCCAATGTCCATCAGCAGATGAATGAATAAGCAAAATGTGGTATGTGCATAAAATGAAATATTATTCAGCCTTAAAAAGGAAGGATATCCTGTCACATGCTACAACATAGATGGACCCTGAGGACATTATCCTAAGTGAAATAAGGCAGTCACAAAAAGACAAATACCTTATGATTCCACTTATATGTGGTATCTAAAGTAGTCGAATTTCATAGAAACAGAAAGTAGAATGGTGGTTTCCAAAGGCTGGGGAAAGAGGGAAATGGGGAGTTGTTAAATGGGTGTAGAGTTTCAGTTTTGCAGGAAGGAGAAGGTCTGGAGATTCGTTGCACAACAATGTGAACACACAACACTTCTGAACTGTACACTTAAAGATGGTCATTAGTAAGTTTTATGTTATGTGTTTTTTACAACAATTTTTTTAAAAGCATGTTTGACTATCTCTATACTTTTCCCTCTCCAGTGCAGTAGACTTCATTGGACGATGCTATTTCACTGAAATCTGCAAGTGTAAACTGAAGGACATCGCATGTTTAAAATGGTAATTTGTGGCAATATTCTAGCTAGCGCTGGGTTTGGGAGATGGATGTTGACACCAAAGCACAGAGAAAGGTTCAGTGGGCTGCATCGAGCCCTGGTTATAACCCATGCAATGAGCCATTGAAAAACCATTTGTTACTTAGAGCTATTTTTTAAATGGGTCTTATGACACTTTACATTTGTATATGATTTTACAATCTTTCAAAGTGCATTGACAAATATCCGCTTTAATGTTCAGACAAAGGCAATGTAGTTTAGGGGAAAAAAAACTTGGATTTACAGTCATAAAAATCGGGTTTGAGCTCTGGCCCTGCCCTTGCTCTCTGTGTGATCTTGAGTAAACTCCTTACACCTCTAAACCTCTGAACCTCTGTTTTTTTATTTAATTTCTATCATAAGAAGTTCTTGTCTTCTTATGATAGAAATTAAAATATATTTTTTGTTTATCTTATAGAGTTGTGAAGATTAAATGAATTATGAATGTTAAAAGGCTTGATAAACTATAAATTACGACACAGATGAAAGCTATTACTATTATCTTTTTGTGTGTGTGTGTGAGGAAGACTAGCCTGAGCTAACATCCGATGCCAGTCCTCCTCTTTTTGCTGAGCAAGATTGGCCCTGGGTTAACATCCCTGCCCATCTTCCTCTACTTTATGTGGGACATTGCCACAGCATGGCTTGACAAGCGGTGCATCAGTGCACGCCCGGGGTCTGAACCTGCGAACCCCAGGCCACCGTAGTGGAGCTCGTGCACTTCACCACCACGCCACCGGGCTGGCCCCCTACTATTATCGTTTGAGAGGTTGACAGATTTGAGTGTTATTAGTCCCATTTTAGAGAGAAGAAAGTTGAGATTTTCTCATTTAAATAGGGTTTGGATTATAAATTATAATCCCAATAATTTAAATTAGCAAACTCTTCTCGTGTGCTAATGACTAAATCATTTCATTCATTCAAACTATGTATTGAGGTCCTTATATGTGCTAGTCATTGTTATAGGGGCTGGAAACGCAGCAATAAATAAGAGAAAATAACTAGCCTTTGAACATTATATCCTAGTAGAAAGACAATCAATAAGATATTTAAATAAATAAGATATTGAATAGAGTGGGAAGTGCACCAAAGGAAATAATAATAATAAGTGATAGAGAATAATAATGGGGCCAGCCCGGTGGCATAGTGGTTAAGTGCATGCGTTCTGCTGCTAGCGGCCCAGGTTCGGATCCCCGACGTGCACTGATGCACCGCTGGTCAGGCCATGCTGTGGCTGCATCCCACATAAAATGGAGGAAGATGGGCACGGATGTTAGCCCAGGGCCAGTCTTCCTCAGCAAAAAGAGGAGGATTGGCATGGATGTTAGCTCAGGGCTGATCTTCCTCAC